TAGATAAATTGTTCAATTATGGAATACGAGGTGTTTTGTTAAAATGGTTTGAATGCTATTTAATAAACCGAAAACAATTGTTCTTTTTAATAACATTGAATCTGACTTTAAAACCATATGATGTGGAGTGCCTCAAGGCTCGATATTAGGACCCTTATTATTTCTTGTATACATGAATGATATTACTCAGGCTTCACAAATATTACAATGTATATTGTATGCCGATGATTCAAGTTTATTTTTGTCAGATAACGATGTAGATAGATTAGTGATACGATTTAATGATGAGCTTCAAAACATTTCTCAATGGTTGAATATTAATAAATTAATCTTAAATGTAAAGAAAACTAATTATATAATTTTTACAAACAAAAACATTAGAACAGATAATATTGAAGTAAAGATTAATGGAAATGTTGTACAGCGTTGTAGTTCATTGACATTTCTAGGAATTCAAATTGATTATAAAATGTCATGGCACGTTCATATTGAAGCAATTTGTAATAAACTCTCAAAAGTAGTTGGTATTTTATACAAATTAAAACAATTCCCTATAAGATTTTATTAATGATATACAATGCATTGTTTTTATCACAATTGAATTATTGCAATATTGTTTGGGCCAATTCAAATGATTATTGTATGAATAGATTATATAAATTACAAAAGAAGGCAATACGTATTATCTCAGGATCCCATTATCTTGCCCATACAAAACCTATTTTTGTCAGTTTTAAATTTTTTAATGTATTTGAATTGAATGACTATTATATTGTTATATTTATGTTTTTATGTCATAAAGGTATTATTCCTCCTAGTCTATCAAACAAATTGATTTTAAATTTTGAAGTACATTCATATATAACTAGACAATCATCTCATTTTCATTTACCACTTATCAAAACTTCTGTCTCTAAAAATTCAATTTTCTTTAAAGGACCAATTTTATGGAATGAGTTACCTCCTAACGTTAAATCAAGCCCAACTCTGAATACATTTAAAAGAAGATACAAACAATTACGGCTAGCCATACTAGTCAATGGCACATGATCGCGGAGACAGCGTGGCTCAAGCTGCAAGTTGCGCATGACATGCGTACGCTATGCATACGCTTGCATATCGCGCGATACAGCTGTTTGGCTAAATTTAGCAAAACAACATAACTCTGCGTGTACGTCTTTTTCGTCGATTCTGAGCAAAATCTTATGAATATTGCAGCGTTTTGGAGGGGCTGTATCTTTTGATAGAAACATAGGTGAGACTTGAAATTTGAAATGTATTATTCTGATTACATTTTTAATTCAAATAGCAAACAAAAATGTAGACCGAAAGCTTCAGTCTCTATACCGTCGGTTGTTCCACTGAGACTACGTCTGGCTCCACTAGACCTCCGGTTATAGAGACTGAACGATCGCCTATGCCAGCCTATGTTGAAGATATCACGGCTAGATTTTAGCCGTTAGGCCCCTCCCACAAACATGAACAAACTTGCCACGGCCGTATTGTTATGCCCCCAAAATCCCCCAAAATGTCATTTTACCTCGTGCATATCCAATTTTACATTAGGCCTAGGCTATAATACATCGGTTCCACTTACTAACTTGATTGAAATAATCCGTTTAATGGTCCCTTTTAAGGAAATTATGGGTCAAAATCGACATCCATGTTGAAAATCTTGCAAGCCGTGTTAAACTCTCGCTGCCGTCAATCTCATCCCTTCTAGTCTACGCCGAAGGCAAAAATGATTATGAAGGAAAAACTGTGATAACGCCATTACGAACGTGTAGATGGCGCACCGATGTATTATAGCCTAGGCCTAATGTAAAATTGGATATGCACGAGGTAAAATGACATTTTGGGGGATTTTGGGGGCATAACAATACGGCCGTGGCAAGTTTGTTCATGTTTGTGGGAGGGGCCTAACGGCTAAAATCTAGCCGTGATATCTTCAACATAGGCTGGCATAGGCGATCGTTCTGTCTCTATAACCGGAGGTCTAGTGGAGCCAGACGTAGTCTCAGTGGAACAACCGACGGGATAGAGACTGAAGCTTTCGGTCCAACAAAAATGGTGAAAAATGATCCCAAATTGAAAATTCGTTCAGACACCCTAATAAAGGGTATCGTCTGTGTATGGGGAAGGTTGACAAATGCCAGTTTTATCAAAGAATTCCCCATACCAGACGGTTATTTCTGTCCAAAGTGCAGAAATGAGTTACTAGGAGCTTATGAAATGATTAAGAAGGAAAAACTGTGCACAAGCTACGAGTTCGTAATGACGATATCACAGTTTTTCCTTCATAATCATGTTGCCTTGATGCCATGCGCAGCAAGAGTTTCAAAAACGGCTGCAAGATTTTCAACATGGATGTCGATTTTGACCATACAATAGTTTCCTGAATAGGGACCATTAAACAGATTAGTTCAGTCAAGTTGGTAAATGGAACCGATATATAGACCTAATAGCCTAGATTCTAGACCTAATTTTCAAAATCAAATGCATATGCATTCGGTAAAATATAGTAGGCCTATTTGGGAATGGTGAGATCCACTCCACCAAACCCGCACAAGAGCTCCTATGGTCGGTTTCTGTCTCTAAAGAGAGGAACCAACCCTACCCAAATCAAGTACCCAAATCAAGTACCCAAATCACAGGCTAACGAACGAAAGAGACTGAAATTTTCGGTCTAACTCAGACACTAAGACTGAGCTGAGCCAAGGCAATTAGGGCCGTGCTGTGAAACTGAAAGAAAGTATCAGTATCACTAGTACTAAGAGTATCACTGATAGACTTCTACTGTTATAATCTAGACCTAGGCTCTTGCTACATTGTAGGTCTACAGTCCAGATAGTCCAGATAGTCAAGTTGGTAAATGGAACCGATATATAGACCTAATAGCCTAGATTAGGGAGGCCAATGCCCGGGCGTAAGGCTTCTACACCTACGATTTGTGCGCTCGTCGCCCACTTCAAAAAATTAGCAAAGGGAAAAAAATGATGTAAAAATAAAAATTGAAGAAAATATGAAAAGAAAATACAATTATACATTTCACAACATACCTATAATCACGGATCTGTAACAGTCTTTCACCATTTGTTGACAATATTGCAGATTTTGACGTTTTTTAATCCAATAATTGTGGTTGCAGACGACCTTGACGCACTCGCACCACCGACTAAGAAAATCCTAGAGGGCGTAGAGGTTTGCTCACTAAAAACCTTCTCATTGGCAGAAGGTAGACCCTAAAAATATGGGATCCGTTTTGAGTAAAGAACTTTTGATAGAGATCAACATTTCAGATGTTCACAATTGCCACTTCTAACAACTAGAAAATATAAAGAAAAAAGATTATATCTTTTTAAATACAGATTTTTACAAACTGAACATTCGAAAGTAGATAGAGTACGATGTTTCTGTCAATCTTGCGTTGGTTTGAGCCCTATAGCTACATCCATCTCAAAATGAGAAGGAAAACAGTGAACAGTGACGTCATTGTTCGCGCCAAAAGTAAAGGGTATTGCGACATAATCTGAGCTCCGGTCAGATCGTGCGCAAAGCGTAGTCTTATTTATAGACCCTAGTACCTTATTCTCACAGCACTAGATACGAGTGTCGTGCAGTAATGTATGAGAAGTGTTAAAAAAGATATTTCAGTAAAAAAAAATGTCTACGTGAGCAGTCTATACTCCAATTGAGAATTGAAATGAAAGCCATGATTTGAAGGTGTGTGTTGTATGATACATGGTTAGTGAGTGTGTATGTTACATATAGCGAAAGGGAGAGAGAGAGAGAGAGAGTGAGAGAAATATTAGTACACGTACGTTGCATGCATGGATGTGCGCTATGATTGTGTTCGCTGCAAGATGGATTTTAATTGGACCTCGTAACTTCTCGATCGTTGATAATAAGGAATACTCATGAGAAAATCAAATTATTGGAATACACATCTAAGGTAAATATCAAAGAATTATATATATTTCTTTCCTTTTTTGAACCATCGTCTTCGGCTCGTAGTAGTAGAAGATGTAATCGTTCGCACATTGATGGCTGGACTTCAGCCTGCATCGGGGCTTGCCTGTGTCGGTGGAGGGATCAACTAAGAAGAAGAAGGTGTGTACGTGTGCGACCGATTCAAGGCTAGCCGCTGTTGAGTGATTGCACTTTCGCGCGAAGTTTTAAACTTCATCATGAACTTTGTCCCTCGGGCCTGTCTAATTATGAACGTAACTTTGCGACATGAAATATAATTGTTTCAAGGCTCTTACGTACGGAAAGGCGTAGAAGGAAATGGCTACAAACCAGCTGGATATCTCCTATTTGATGGAACCTATGGAGTCGGCAGATGGGTGGATTTTCTTAGTGAAAGTAAATGCTTTCTTTTAATCTTAGTTTTAGTATAAACAAATTAGTAATTAAAAAGTTAGATTTGGGCATTGGCCTCCCTACCTAGATTCTAGACCTAATTTTCAAAATCAAATGCATATGCATTCGGTAAAATATAGTAGGCCTATTTGGGAATGGTGAGATCCACTCCACCAAACCCGCACAAGAGCGCCTATGGTCGGTTTCTGTCTCTAAAGAGAGGAACCAACCCTACCCAAATCAAGTACCCAAATCAAGTACCCAAATCACAGGCTAACGAACGAAAGAGACTGAAATTTTCGGTCTAACTCAGACACTAAGACTGAGCTGAGCCAAGGCAATTAGGGCCGTGCTGTGAGAATTATTATTAAAGAGTATGAGTACAAGAAGATAGACCAAGAAGATAGACCTGGAAGCTCGACTGCTGTCTCAGCATTCTTCCAGTATTTGCGGTAAAGGTAAAGGTAATCAGTATCACTAGTAAGAGTATCACTGATAGACTTCTACTGTTATAATCTAGACCTAGGCTCTAGCTACATTGTAGGTCTACAGTCCAGATAGTCAGTACGGTATCACTGACTCAGTATCGTAACATAAAATCTAGCAAAGCCATAACATTAACAAGTAAAAATACTTACGAAAAAAATGAAGTTGAAGATGAACATCAAATATTTGATGCATGATGCTGTTCCTTCCACCATCTTGAGTTCTCTTGTAAATCAACAATTCCTTTGTGGAGAGAAATAGTTACGCCAAAATGGTTCTGTCGTCTTAAAATTCTGCCGGAACACTGATTCTATGTGCGCCCGTCTTCCCGTATCACAAATCGCTAGCTGCATACACGCTATTTTTACACAGTCTGTGCACAAATACAATAAACAAACATTCAGGTCGTTTCGACACGCACGTCGCGCTTACTCAGGAGCAACCAAAGTGCTCAAATTTCATACGCAAAAACAGAAATGTAGATCTTTATCATTAATCGATATCATTCCTTATTGACTCTTGATGAATATTTATTTCAAAACAATATAATCTTAGGTATAAGTGTGTGTGAATTATGTAAAACCATGGCTTTTATTTGGAGATGTGTTCGTTTGATATGGGCCGAGCGGGGCCGAGCACCTAACTATAATTATTGCGCCTCAACCCGTGAGAAACCAACCCGTGATCTTTCATCGCTACGTCATATACTTTTTTTAGAACTTTTCGTGCAATATCTCATTCATTGTCACATGCAGATCGTAAATCCTTGTATTGTTAGTCCATGCACCTAATTTACAAATATTAATTTCAATATCTTACGTAAGAAATATATTGATTGATTGATTGATTTTTATTCGACAAGCTTCCAACATACAACAATATACAATAATAACAGATCAGAAATAAGTCAGCTTGAACAGGATAACCTACGAAAGCTCGAGAGCTTATTTCCAGTGGGGTCCCTTACAGACATGTATAAAATTAATAACTTAAAATAGTAATAATTATTTACAGACAGATAAGAAAAATAAAAGAATTACTTATTAAAGATAATAATAATAACAACATTAAACTGATGATAGAAATGATAATAAGTACAAGAAGAAAGGGAAGAAGGAGAAGAAGAAAAAGAGGCGGAGGAAGAAGAGGAAAATAATGATGAATTTGTAGAATTTCTATAACGTACGAAAACATAAGTATACACAAAATGAAAAAGTATGAACCGGCAGAAGAATACAAATTTCAATCATATATCATGTCATTTACTTCTCTTATCTGACTGTCAAGTATTAGGTATTCCTTTAATTTCCTCTTAAAATGAGCATAGTTTTCTATTTCCTTTACACCATTGGGAAGGGAATTCCAATGTTTATGGCATTGTAATAAAACGAATTCCTGGTAAGTTAAAGTTGAATCGGCTATTTCTTGTATTATAATCATGTAAGTCAGTAACAAGATCGAAGTTGGATCGAATATGATTCGACCTAGTATGATATATTTTATGCACGTGATGCAATACGAGTTGTTTTGATCTTTGGTCGACTTCAAGAAAACCAGCTTTAGAAAGTTCGCTGTAGCCAACATGAGTTCTTGGACCAGAACAGTTGATAAATCTCACCATTTTGTTCTGTATAATCTTCAACTTCTTTTGATCTGACTTGTTTATGTTACTATACCATGCAGGGTTAGCATAGTCAAATAAACATTGAATAAGAGCAAAACAGAGTATACGTCTTGCTTTTAAATCCATATAACTTTGATACCTGTACAAATCAGTCATCCAATCGACACACGTAGACAGCTGTTCACTGAGCTTTTCCTCAATTTTTAGGATCAGGATTTGAATAGCGTAGTACGCTGTCATCTGCGTAGGCCTACAATAATAGTTTAAAGTCTTTTATACAAATACACATATCATTTATATAACTTGAAAATAGAATTGGGCCTAAAATGCTTCCCTGAGGAACACCGCATGTTATAGGCATTAGTTTGGAACGAATATCATGAATGGCCAGTACTTGGTGTCGATTAGATAAGTAGGATCTGAACCAATCTAAACTTGCCTTATTAAAACCCATTAGTTGTAACTTCTTCAATAAGACGCAATGATTAACTGTATCAAAAGCTTTTTGCAGATCAAGGAGCACCATACCAACAAAGCGCCCTTGGGAAGTTTCTGTCCTCAAATAATCAGTCAAATGAATTAGACATGTTTCAGTCGAATAATCATGTCGAAAACCAGGTTGAAATTCATAAATTATATCATTTTCTTAGAAGTATCTTTCAATTTGAACACAGACCGATTTGTCTAGAATCTGTGATGCTACGCTTAAAACATTAATAGGTCTACAGTTGCTAACATCAGTTTTATCTTTCTTTTTATAAAGTGGAGTCACTTTTGCTATTTTCATATCCTCTGGAAAAGTACTCGTCAAGATAGATAGGTTCATTAAGTAACTTAGAGGCTTTAATAAAACCTTCGCACCATCTTTTAGGAATTTAGCTGGAATCATGTCTAACCCGGTACTTTTTGATACATTCAACTCACGTAACTCTTTGAAAACAAATTGTTCGCTGATTGGTAATAACTCAAAGCTGTTTTCACGTACACCTTTCCTTTCGTAAAAATCACGAATACAATCATTGTCTGTGCTGAAAAAGTCTTTGGAAGGGGGGAGTTTGTCTACTAATTTGGCAGCCACATTTGTGAAATGAGAATTGAATTCATCAGCGATGGCCATCTTATTATGACATAATCCCCCATTAATTTTAATGACAGATTCTTGTTCTTTTCGCTTCTTATTTTTTAATCCTATAAGCTTTTTAGATTCTGCCAAACCTTTTCGAATATTGTTTATTTTCTTCTATCTTATTTTGTAAGTAATCGAGTTTAGCCTCTTTCACCTCTCTTTGGACCATATTTCTTAATACTCTGTATCTTTTATAAAGCGTCTCATCTTTTGGTCTTTTCCTCAAGTTTTTGTATACTATATTTCTCTCTTGAATTAGGAAAAGAATATCCTTAGTCACCCAAGTTTCTGATCTTTGTTTTATTCTAATCCGTTTCAGTGGCGCTATCATATTCAAATTTGAGATAAAAACATGTTGAAATACTGACCATGCCTCATTCATATCTGTACAGTCAGTTATTCCTGACCAATCAACAACAGATAGTTGAAGATTGAAAGACTCTTCTGTATATTTTTTCATGGATCTTATATCATTATTCCTGTGATGACCTATAGCCAGTCTAATATTTTTCCGTGTACATAAAGTAAAAGAATGGTCGCTAATACCTAGATCAATGACACCACTTTGGCTTATTTTGTTTTCTTTGGTACAACCAACATGATCTATAAGAACATACGCGTGTTGCTTCTTTAATGAGTTGACTATGAGTTCGGTGTAGAATTTTACGGGGCTGCTTTTTTCCTCATCAGAATGAAGACTCTGGTTTTCTCGGTAGATGGCTTGAAAACCGCCTTGCTCCAGGTTGACTGCCTGTGTCCTGATCGGCCGGACGACCGTTGAGTCCAGCCCTGGCCTCGTGTTGTCGGTTGGTCAGCACGGTTGATGAGGCATTTCATGTTGCCTGCCAAATTCGTTGACCGGCTCTGTTGAGGTGAACGCCATCACGCCCGAGATGCTGCTCGCTGATATCATTGTTGATGATGAGGCCCCATCTGTTCTCGCTGGCTGCCAACTCCATCAGATGGTTAATCTCATCAACCCGCTTCTTGCCCGCTTCACTCTCCCATCTACGATGGATGACCGTAGATACTGAGACGGTAAACCCTTCGGCAGCTACAGACTTGCCGAGGTCGGCGATTTGGTGGCAAACTTCACCAGCACCCTCAGAGATGTTGTTGGTGCCAGCGTGGATGAAATTACTAACAAAAAGCATTCGCATGATAATGCAACCTTTAATTTTTCCAAACCAAAAATCAGACCAAATCAAACTTAATCAGAATTTATTATCAAATAACATACAATTTCAATGTATCTAATAATTTGATACATGTTAAAAAAACAAATTATACCATTGCCTGGGCCTTCCCTCCACCCCCCCCCCCCCCCCCCCCCCGGTACATGCAAGTTCTGTTAGCTCATTGAAAGAGGAAAAAACACCTATCTACTATGGTTGTCACTATAAAATGTGCCTTCTCTTTTCCCTCATCTTCTTCACCCTTCCCAACTCTTTGATGATCCCTGTGTACATTATGTCCTCATGATACTTTTATCACTTTTTGTTACACATAGTATGTTTCCTTTTCCCGTTTTATGTTTCACTGATGGGGCATAACGACATATTTTCATAAGTGGTGTAAAATCAGTCAGCCGAAAATTTTCCAACACTGAACAAATTTGAGTCCGGACAGAACTGTCACCCTTTCCGTAATGAGCAACGAAGACGGCTTCAGATAACCATAATAAAAGAGAAATTATGTGATTTCTTAGTCATAAAATGAATACTCGTTACGTATAGATCTGCAGTAAAGAAAGACATGGTAAGTATTACAAAAGCCATCTACTTCCAATCTTTGTAACAAAACTGGAAGGTGGTCCGCGGAGGTCGGGAACTCCGGCTGCTGATCGATAATTATGTATGTATTCTGCAGTAAAGCACGTCAAAAATCATATCATCATTCGGCCTACAATCTGAGCATTAACGTGATGAAAAAATTATCAAGCTGTAGAATACTACCAAAGGTATAATGAGAACATATTTCATAACGAATCTTCAATCAAACTCGAAAAAGGTCAGTGTAAGCAGGGGCGGATCCAGCCGGCGACAGGAGGGGGGGGGGGGCCAATCTTGAGAAAAATTCAGCGCCGACTCAGCCGACCGGTGAATAAGCGGGAGGGGGGGGGTATAGGCAAATATCCCCCCCCCCCCCCAATTCGTGAGAAAATATTTAGCAGCGATTCTTCAAGCCGGTGAAAAAGCGGGGGGGGGGGTGGAGGTGATGAAGAGGAGAACCACTTTTTTTTTTTGAGGGGGTGAAAATACAATTTTCTTCTTTTTTTTACTTCTTTTTTTGTTTGTTTGGGGGGGGGGGGTCAGGGGGTCCCGATTTTGTTCTTTATTTTAAACAAAGATTAAATTCACGTTATTATCCTATTTTTTACCGTTTTGGGGGGCTAGGGGGGGGGCGGGCCGGAGAAATCGCTACGTGGATCCGCGCCTGAGTGTAAGCCTGTTACACAATAGACCGGTTTACTAACATATTCAAATTTATGGAAGTTGCTTTCATGCAAATGGAGCTAGTGACGAGTTATCTATTTACCTGTTAATGAACGATACAATACTTGGAATCCAGTCTGCATACATTAAGGCCCGGTCACACAGCCTTTCGCGTCTGTATCGCGGGTAAAATTTCGCGATTTTTTTTTGCCCGCGGTTGCCCGTGGTGGAAAAATGTGCA